GAGAGAACGTCGTGTTCTCAAATCACAGACAGGAGAGAACGCCGTGTTCTCACATCAGAAACAGGAGTACTCGATAAGTTTGTCTAGCTCAGTCACCACATTTTATTTACTTATGTTCTTTTAAAATCACACTACAATATTTTGTCTACTAATTTCGTTCTGTATTTCGACAGATCTCATGATTGCACAGACGGCAGTGTGACAGGTAATTTCACTACAGTTATATAGAGATAAGACGTGGTTTTGTTTAAATTTAAACAAAGGGAGTATCTCTGGGAGGTCAAAATCAAATTTGTTATCTATTTTTGTTCGCTTCAGTTTTAAGGGTTTGTTATTTTAAAAATCAATAAACAATTGTAATTGAAGTATCAAAGACAAATAATTTCTTTTATATATTTTACGACTATTTATTCACTAATCTACTGCATTGCAAATGCTTCGTATCTTATCCTAGTCAACATCTCTCTGGTGATAACTTATATCATTTTATCAATTTTAAGTTTACAATGTACACGACAGTTGCTGTTAAAGGGATTTTAATTTCACAATGTAAAATGTTACATTTTCCAGGTAATACAAATACCATCCTAGCTGATTACTATAGTAACCTGTCTGTGAAAGAACTGCAAAAGAAGCGAAAACAACATGAACGTCATAGTCCTAGACGGTCTCCGGCTCCAAATGGGAGTCTTTATACAGAGGTCGACAAACCAAGCGGGAAAAAACCCAAGTTATCGCCGAGTCAGGAGTCGGGCGTTGTGTTCTTAAAACGAACAAGCATCAAAGACAGTGACACTGGCAACTTAGTTGAAAATGGAAACACAAATGTATGTCTGGAAGGCAAGGAGCAATCCGAGGTTGGTGCATACGTAAACCAAGTAGCACGAATGGATGGTACTTACGACAAGCTGGGGAAAGACAGACAAATGAACGAATTATCGAAACCCGGAAAGGATTACTACGATCACATGAAAATTAATCATAACAAAACGGGGAACTCCGATGACGCATATGATGAACTTGAAAAGAGGTCAGGTAGAGAAAATCTCGATAGAAATATTGACGACGAGTATGACCACGCCCAAGATTTCAATTAGGCAAGCACAAAAGAAATTACAAAATTGTCTAAATATATCAAGGCTGCTTACGTTTTGAGAGACCGATTGAGCCAATAGTTTGTTCTCTCTGGGCCTGTATTGTGTCTGTACTCATGTGTTTGTATATTGTTATAAATGTTTTATGTTGTTTCTCTCCAGCATACGATGAGTCAATTGACTTAAGGTAATAAAGAACTGGATGTTGTAGATTGAATTATACGTATGCATCTGGAAACGAATTGGAAGTTATGCTTGGAATAAAAGTTAGTTTAACTCTTTAGTAATCTACAATATATTCTAGAAATCAGTAAAACAAAAAACAAGAAAAAAAACCCAAAAAGTTTTTTTTTAAAAATGTAATAATAGAATAAAAAGCAGACAGAAAAAAAAACAAAAAACAAAAAAAACCAAAAAAATGAAAAATGAAACATGTCGCCCATATTGCCCTCAAGTGTTTCCGTTCATCTTTACTTCGCTATTTATGATACATTGTATAAATTTTATGATCAATGTTTCAAGTGTTCCAGTTAATCACGGAACAGTTGTGATATATACATATGTTGTAACACCAGTCTATATTTTATAAATATATCTGCTATTATTTTGTACATTTCCATATCTCTATAGTAACATTGTACACAATGATTATCAGCTGTAGAAATAAGATTTCCTTACGGTAGTACACATTAATGTTTACAGTAGTTAACATGTATGTTTCTATATTCTAGACAGATGAATGTCTTTGGTAATTCTATTACATTAAGTAATGGCTTTTTTTTTTTTTTTTTTTGATCAGAGGAGATGAAGTTAGATATGGAACACTATCTATCATTTAATGATATCTACACAGTATATATACGTGTACATATGTGGTAGTTGTTTATGTACAATATAGTAATTATTCTTTAATTAATTGATATTTTTATATATGTTTATAGCCGACATATCATTTTACAATAAAATGTAGAACAATATACTTGTCATTTACTGTGATTCTTTTCCGCAAATTTACGATATCACGGAGAAATCAAACTGTCGACTTCGAAATAACGAAGTTCGACTGTAGTTGACGTGAAAATTAACCAATTATTGTTTTGACTGCGACATTCTGTATTTACTATCAACACTTATCCAGCAGAAAAACAAATAGACTCATTTTCACTTAAGAGAGCATGAAACAAAAAACAAAAAAATACTTCCTGTGACAGACCTTGAAGTATCTCCTAGACGAACATGAAGCATGTCACTACACATATAATGGCCTCATATGGATGAAATATGATACCCTTTTCCAAAGACAAGTAAATGCGCTTTATTTTGAACAGTGCCTCCGTGCATACGAATTAAATCGTGGCGTGCTGGTTTACATAGGATACAATCGCCAGAATACATCAAAACACCAATGACATAGGAAACTGCGATAGGCATTCAACAATAGATGACGTATTTAGCACATTTACCAGGATTCGGCGATTGATGACGTAGTAAACAATGACATTTCGTATGCATCAATTGATGACGTATTTAAACACAATTAATGGGATTCAACTATGGATGTCGTAGTAGACAAAGACCAGAATATATCAATTGATGACGTATTTTTAACAATTATCGAGATTCAATGCAGTAAACAAAGGAAGGAATACATCAACTGATGACGTTTAACACAATAACCGGGATTCTGCGATTGATGACGTATTAAACAACGATGTTTTAAGCATCATAATCCAACCACTTGTACAGATTTATAAGTGATCATAACAAAACCGTGTAATAAATATATGTAAAAAAAATATTACAAACTTTTCTGTCTGCAAACAGGGGACATAACTCTCGCTGATATTACATTAGTCATCGTGCATGAAAAATCCCTAAATTACAATTAATGCTACTAAGCTTGGATTAAAAAGTCTTCCGCTTCCTTAGATACGATGACCGGAAGATATCGTTAGCATAGGGGTTAGGTATCGGAGATATTCTAACTATGTATATGTGTGTATATTTTGGACGTTGTAACACAGTTAACAAAAGGCAGATTTTGACTCGTGCCCTGTCCCAGCCTGTCTAGCCATTATATCACCAAGACATCCCAAACAGAATGTGTGGAAGCTGTACTGAAAGACAGCAGGAATTTTCTCGGCAAGATCATTGTGACAAATTGTCTAATTACGTAATATGATCAACGTACATACATACGATTTTGGGGACTACTTGACCATGTTCAAAATTATATTTTTTATGTAGATATATTTTTTGCATTTAACTCGTGTTTTTAATCAAATTACATTTTATTGCAACCACACATACATTTAACACTTTTTTCAAAATAAATTTTCTTCTCTTTAATCATACAATTCCTCATTCACAACGTGGCCGAGATGTACCGGTAGACTATTTTCCTCGGAGTGTGACGTGCAATTGTTTTCGTTGCGATCACATTTATGTTTAGTGTCTAGAGTGCAAAACATACCTAGATTTATGTAAAACTTTTTTATATTTTAATCACCATCTTAAATACAACAACTTGGGATAGTTTTTTGTCCGTTATAAAGGGCCTTCGGCGTCCATCGGCCAAAGGGATTATCGAGACACCTAAATTTACACCACCGCGCTCAATTTTACTTTATATACCTTTGTATTTGTTTTATGTTCTGTGTATGTGATATAATCTATGTAACACTTGTGTCTCGATAAAGGGGCAGGTTGCCTCGAAATTTGACAATTCGCTTGTCCGTACCGTTGTTATTACTTCATTGATCATAAGTGTACTTTGATTTTTTTTAAAATTTGAATTGTTAGATTTAAGTCAGGAAAGATCCGTAAAACTGGGGATAGGATCAGTTATTGACAAAACAAATGATAACAGATATTAAAAAGAGCTTTAACTAGATATTTTTATAATAATAATCTGCATGTACAGAATACACCATGTAAGCAGACATGGTATGTACAAAAATATATTTGTGTTAGCACGGTAACCCAGCTCAGAGACTGCAGCTTGTTATTTGTTGTACATATCTTATAAACAAAACACAACAGAGAAAAGAAATGTTGTCAAATGGTCATTCATTAAATGACAGGAACATTTCAAATACAACCATGATATTAATCACTGTTGTTATATAATATATAGATCTGAATGACATTAACTTCAGTCTATATGTACAACAAAAAGATGGGGTACAAATTATCGGCACCGATGTGGGGCGCAAGATACATATGCATAGAGGGATACATGATATGTATTTGTATTTGTATAAACGGATTGGTTTTTAAATACACAAAGTGGACGGAAATAGTATATAAGTATGTTCATAGTCGGTACTGATACTGAAGTCAGCGACATTGTTTTCCTCTTTATTTAAGTACCATACAAAGTTTAATTAGTTCAACTGAATTTATATCGGTTATATATATCAAGAAGAATATATATATATATATATAATAAAAAAAATTAATTTAAATTCGCTGATAAGTCGAAGAATAAAAACGTGTTCAAAAGGCACGCTCAAGTGTATTGAACTTATCTCGTAACTGACATCAGTTGTCTATTGCAATTTTTATGTCGTTAAATCAGATGTTGAATAATTGTTTTTTATCTTTTACACTTTGTACTTTCTAAGCTCATATGCAGTTCTTCCTAACACTCTTACCAACTAATTAATATTTACAAGGATTATAATGAGGTGTGAGATGACGTCACTGCGTGTTGTGTATTCGTAAGGAGTGTTTATCAAGCTATGGTGAATCAGTGATACGACAAAAAGCAGATTTTATTTCCCGGGATTTGTGTTGTTAAGTATAAGATACTTGACAAACAACGACAGTCTTCGTATCTCGATTTACATAGGACGATCATTTTAACCTCGTGTTTTATTTCCTGGTCTATGTTAGCGTTCACTCACATGACATGGACTCACCATATCCGATGTTTACTTTGAAAAGTAAAGTATCTGCTTGGCACTGAAGGAAGGCCGGTTTCTCGATCAGGTACGTGACACATAAAAGTACGTCTGCTTTCGAAGTAAATAAGACATTATTCTCCAGGGAAGCAGACATAACTAAACACACTGGCTGTTGATGTGAGTTCATTAACACCATAGATACCATGTGTGCAAGCTCCAGTTCAGCGAGGAAATCAAGGGCTGAATTCGAACGCCACGGTAACGTAATATCATACTCCTCAGTAATATTGTATATATATAGCCTTTACATTATGTTACAAGAGAACACAAGTTTTAAACACCATGACACACCACAGGGATGTATAGGGTTACATATATAAAGGGCAGCCTTGAGTGAGGAAGACATTCCGATCAGTATCAGAAGTGTCTTAGTAGCGGTTTTTTGTCAACCCCAAGTTAGGCTAGCTGTCATTGTTTTTTAAGTAGTATTTGCTTCTATGGTTGATAGAATGCAATTACAGTGTCTTGGAAATTTTTGTTGAGTATTATTGTCATTTGTGTTTTTAAGTCATGGCTTTGACTCTTTGATATATATAATAAATTTAATGTCAACATTTTGGTGGCCAGCCATTTTCATTCAATTTTGTTGTCTGCGTTTTCAATTTTGTTAAGACCACTTTCTGCAAAAGTGGTCTTTTGGTCTTAATTGAGGTTATGACCACAAAGAACCGTAACTCTGTTTAAAATAAAGAGTATATATATCATAAAGTAATGTACATGTATATTATTCAACAATAATAACTAATAATAATAAACTAAAATGTTGAATTTTATGAAATGCATGTAAAAAAGACAAAATTGCTGAATTGACAGAAGAATAATGATGTTTTCACAATAAATTTGCAAACACATAATCTTTATCAGTGTATCACTCAGTACAACACATTTTTTTTTACTTAAAAAAAAGAGTCCAGTGCACAATATTGCGAAGAGCTACGGATCTGGACAGCCTCCCCTTTCATACGTCCTTTTATAGCGATACCTCGTTTCGTTTCCGTGGTTTCGTCTTTGCTTGATAAAGTTCATCGGAGTTTTGTGACAGAGAAAATGTGTCGTAAAAAAAATGGAACACATACACGTTTTTTATTGTTCAAACGATATCGAGAGTGCAACATTGCTACAAAAACAGTTAAAAACCCTCGACAACGTGTGCGCGTGCAAACCAAAGAATATCGGCCGAAACGACTACATAATTCACTTTTGGGTATGCATGGCTTCTAAGGTGTTTATATACCTACCGATCTATCAATATATAATTAACAAACAACAGATCGCTATTAAAACGTGTCTAGCACGCGGTTTCGGACGGGTAGGCCAAGTTAATCCGATAACGATGTTTACTTCGTTTAACGCCACCTGGTGACAGGGTCGGTAACCCGTGACGAAAACAATAGTCGTGAATGACACACGTTCGCGGTTCACTGCCCAACAGGTTAACTTTAATCACTGGTCAGACCGTGGTCGTAATTGTGAGGTCAATTATCGTTAATAAGTGGTCATTGGGACTGTAGGAAGTGGTCGTTATACGGAATAGAGGGGTGGTCGTAATACTGAAGCGACCAATACAAAGATATATAGTGGAAAAAAACGGGACTGAAAAAAAGTGCCCGTAATAGCGGGGTGGTCGTAATTTTGAGGTGGTCGTTAGGTGAGGTTTCACTGTATATATATATATACCTAAATTTACACCACCGTTCTCGATTAAAGTTGATCTGTTTTATGTTAGCTGTATGTGATGGAATTGATGTAATATTTGTGTCTTTATAAATGGACAGATTGCAATCTTTTGGGTCGCAAGTGGTAGACACTGCTGGTAGCCTTTTAGTTTTTTTAATCCCCAAGGTTTGCCTTAACTTGCATGCCATTCATTCGAATAGCAATTCAGAATACACATATGTACTTAACATTTTCTGATTTATGAATATTACGAAATTCATTTAATTAAAGGGATTGTACATCTCCTTGTAGAAGATTTGGACTTTCCTTTCGATCACTTTGGGTTTTCCTTGTTTGGCAAGAAAATTGAATTCTTTATTGTGTTTTAGATCTATGAAAAAATATGCCTATGGCTCAATATGGATTCAAATGTCATCAACACATGATGATAGCTAGTTCCCTAAAACTTACAATGGTATGAATCTTTCCTGAATGAATGAAGGACTTACTGGTAGAATATTTATTCTTATTGACTAAGAAGGTCGCCCTTTCAGATGGAATGAAATCGATCGGGCCTAATGGCATGTTTATCATTGATATCATCAGCACTTAAGAATGGATTTTTTTTTTCAAAATAACAAATTAGTTATATGTTATAAACAAATTAGTTATATGTTATAAACAAACTTTGTTTTTGTGCGTGCATAAAATGTTGCGCAAACCTCATTGTCATTGTTACCAGTTTATGATTTGATATACATTGCTAAGATATAATCTAGAGAGTAGAAATAGCAAGCATGCACTTTCAACAATGACAAATTTCCACCAAGCTATTTGATATGTGAATTTTTCTTTTTTGGATAGCAACATCCTTTTTGCACCCTAACCTAATTTCAATGAATTTAACCTTATATTACTGTAAGATTTTGTTAACATGTCGGTATTTTCTTTGATATTTTTCAGGATATTCTCTCCGATTTCGATTTCTGATCCTAATGAATATCATCACAACGAGAAAGGCATCCATGTCAGTACAAAATTGTACGATGTGTTTGGTTGTGGTATACACCTTTGTCATATTGGCAGGACTTGATGTTTCTCATGCTACAACCACTAAACCGAAAACAGGGACAAACAACGTAATGATTTCAAACGGAAGTTCATCTGGACAAGGGGACAACCCTACTTTACCATCAGATGCAGAGACCGACAATTTCTTGAAACCTAAAAATTGTACACGGATAAAAATGTGAGAAAATTACTGACTTGAATATTTTACAAATATTGATGAATGAACCATCACTGATAACGTTAAATTCCCTAGTTAATCAGCCTACTGTATTTCTAGAACATTCAATTTGTGAAAATGTGAAAATACATCGTCAAATGTCATTGTTGGCGTTGTATTACTGGTAAGTCAAGAATATTATGTAAATGTTTATATCTTGTTGCGAACATGTGTCAACATAATCAAAAGCATGAAATGTTTTGTTATACATAAAAGACCGTGACATAAAAAAAAACTATTTCTGTGAGACAAATGATTTAATCTGATCACAAGATGATATGTATAAAGTGTTTAATCGTCTAGTTTCGTCGTACAAATTATGAATATAATGATATCAATGATACACAGATGTAGATTTTTTTATCAATTCAGGACGTCCGCTACCTTTCAAGGGTCGTATATTGGCTCTTGTGTTTCACAGAAGAAAACCTGCACCTCTTTTCTGATTTTTTGGAAAAAATGTCGTCAGAAGGATGTGTGAGTATTATTCCGCAGTTTAAATATCTAAATTTAACTATATATAAAACTTATAAATACTTATGTCATTAGTTCAACTGAGTACACTTTGTACATATATGGAACTCAGTTTAAAGCTAAAAAAAAAGACCATACGATTAAAATAAAAACCAACCGGCATTACTTAAAAAAAGCAATAACAACGAAAACACCAACATGTTAACAAAATAAAAACGTAACACAGATTCGAAAAAAGACTGGGACAAATATAAACATAACGATTTACAATGACACTTCTCAAGAATTGAAAGGACAGCAAAACTAGTTGTTACGAAATGGTAAACGTCTTCTTCTCCAAGTACACCCACACATTTCGTTGATAAAATTCAATGTGCTAGCAAAGATCTCATATAGATAAGTATTTATGGAAAATCAATCATGACTGCATTAAAGAACAGCCGTCATGGATCGTTGTTATACTTGAATATATTCTGAGCGCTTTTATGTATTTTCAGGACTACTACGTGTTTGAAATATCAAATAAAAACCAAGACAGTAACTTCTATGGAAGCTACGTGCTGTGAAGGTTTCGTGCCTTACAATGATACCGCCGCGTTTTGTATTAAAGGTACGAATAATGCAAGTTGTTGAAAAATGATGGAATGAAATATAAAATAGCATGAAGTTTTCAATTTACGTATCATCCAAATCCCCACGATAGTGTTCAGTTGGAATTAGTAAAGGGATTAAAAAAAATAGAAAAACAATTTGTTTCAAGTATGAGGAAAGCTGTTGAAGGAACATTTTAGTATAATGGTTTGTGAGGATAAGTACAGGAAATGATTTACAATTTAACCTGCAATTGGAATAATTTTGTACCATTGAAGAACGGATATGAATACACCAGCTACATTCGAGATGATTTGAAAGTTACCTTTTCCAAAGCGAAATAATTATTTGGCGATAATGATGTCTTGCATATGTTATATTTATCTACACAACTCGATAAGTACGTAATAAATAATCTTCCTTATTCATGAAAACAAAACCCCTTCAAGTTTTGTTGAAACGATTGAATATCTAAAATAGATCGAATGGATTCTCCTTTTTGAATTTTGTCAATTAGTGTAGTCAAAGAGAATTAAATATCCTTTACTCATTATCAATATCCTTTACTCGACATTATCTATGTCTTTCCTATTTTCACATCGGTGTTCCTAACAGTTTCCTTATTTTCATTCGTACAGAACTAACACAAATATGGATTTCTGACATTTATATAAAACACATTTATTTTCATGATAAATTTAATTATCTTTTATGAAGGATGTGAAACTGGTAAATATGGAGAAAACTGCACTCTTGACTGTAACTGTACGGGCAATACCCGACCAGATTGTGATTTGACTTCAGGCCAATGTAAATGTACGGAAGGTTGGACAGGACCAAATTGTACTGATGGTAAGAAATCATAATTACGCTTCTCGATTGTTAGTGGCCTTTTTGCAACATATTTGATGGCACAGAAAACATTGTAGGCAATTTCAGACATTTTGCAGTTCTTAAACTATTCAATCAAAGCAATCCTTTTTTTTCTATATCAATTTTCAATTACAAGGAGATAAAAAAAATAAAATAGTAGAAAATGGTTCTATCGTGCAGAAATGGTTTTCAATTTGATGCAAAACATGTAGTGAAATCGTCATAACATTATTCCGATTTTTAAAACTTTTATCTATGGTGACAAACTGATAAAACAAAATAAAACCAAATGTATTTTCAGTTTGTGACGAAGGGTTTTACGGTTACAAATGTGAGAACACGTGTCCATGTGAGAACAATAGCACGTGTAATCACGTGAATGGAACATGCAACTGCACATCTCCGGGATGGACAGGTGACACGTGTAATACAGGTATTTGTTATTTATAAACCGCTTTGTATTCATCACATTTTATCATAGTAGATACACTTTGATGTGATTTTCAAAGCACATGACTATACAAATCCTATTAGTACCTCAATACGGTATCGCCTAAGGCGTCGCCTGTGGTGAGACACCATCTTGCCCTGAATTTGGTATTTTGTAACACTTTGTATAATGGTAAATGGTAATATGAGGGCGTTACAACATAACATCATATCTTACGGTACAATCTCGTGGGAGTTACTTGATTGGTAGTGATTTCAGGTTTAATAGAACAACAGAAAAATCGTAACGAAATATGCTTTGTCATGATTAATATCAATATGGCTAGATAGTTCCTAACTTCAAATATCAAGTATATATAAACATTAACTTTTTAAAAGCACACCAATACATGTTTCAGATGAGTAAATAAAATTTGTCTTGATATCGTTCATAAAGGAAAACAGTATTCTTCCTGTGGCCAAAGACAGCCCTGTATTTATCTGTTATAGAGATATCAACAGCGCAGACATCACTGCGGTCCGGATATCTTTCTCATTGTACAGTCAATGTATCCTTGTTTTGATGTACTGTACTAATATGACTAATTAGGGAAATAAATCCAGAAACGGCACCATCCGGAAATTTGAGTGGGATTCTAAATTATTTTTCGTACGAAAAAAAGTTCTTCCAGGCCACCAATATTTATGTTCAAATCAGACATCGATAAACCGAAGTGGCAGAACATAAAAAAATGAGAGGGGGTGGTGTGATATCTATCACTATGTTGTCTATCACTTCAGGGTGTGTGATGTGACTTTGAGTAATATCAACTTATGGAAATTTCCGAGTTTTCACACAAAAACGGTATTATCAGTAGTAAACATATGATAAATACTTAATATCAATCATGTCTCTATTACAGTATGTCCAGAAGGTCAGTACGGATATTACTGTGAACAAAAGTGTTCCTGTCCCACAAATGCAACTTGCGATCCCCGTACTGGAGAATGCCAGTGTATTGCGGGTTTAACAGGTGTCAATTGCACAGAAGGTAATGCGTGATTCTATCATCTGACAATTTTCTGTTTCTTTAAGTGACTATACAATATATATTATTATCGGTACATTGTTCGTGCAATTATTCAATTTAATAGGTCTGTGCGTGCAGACATTCGGCATTAAATACTTCGTAATAAAATAAAGAATGGCATTACATTAAGACAATTTGTGTGTCCACTACATGGTATCTGTCATGTTTATATTTGTATGGATGGATGGTTGAATTGATGGATGTATATGTGTGTGTGAGAGAGGTCATATACATATGAATGCATGCGTGTGTATATGTGTATCTACTTGTGAATGTATATATATGTTGCTATTATCATCAGTAAAGGAAAATATATTATTTATTCAATGTTAATCACTTAATTCATTTCCATTCATTTAAGTCTGTGATGATGAGCATTTTGGTGTCGACTGTCAACAGAAATGCACGTGTGTTGCAAACAATACGCGTGCATGTGATGCTATAACTGGAAAATGTTATTGTACAGCTGGATGGACAGATCGTGATTGTTCAGAATGTAAGATATTAAAAGGATTTCAATGTTGATTTTGGTAAACCACCTTGGTGAGGTCATAATGGTTTAGAAAATTTACTTGATAATTAACCAAATTATCAAGTTCATTATAAATAAACAGATCACCAAGTTCATTATAAATAAACAGATCACCAAGCTCATTATAATTAAATACCACTCACTATGATATACTGACGACGATTATAAAGTAACAATTCATGATGGTGTTTATTATCCTTCCTGCTGAATTAATCATGCAGTTCCCAAGTACGATAGACTTTCAACAGTACAAAATGTCGTAACTACTAGGGGAAATATTGAAATAAAAATGACCCCTGTTTACAAACTCATTATCGCTAAAAATGCTTCGTTTTATGACATTATATTATATGCTCTATACCTGTACGAGGACCACATCGTCAAGAGAGAAGTTTTAAATTTCAATTATTCATTTCACAAACTATGGCTATTTGTGTTTGCTTATAAAGTGTTAAGTAACAACAAGCGGCGTAACTTCAACATACATTTTGACCTCTCGTATGAATATAATACGGTGTTGGATCAAGGAAGTAAAACCCAGGTGTATGTTATAAGAGAAACCATTGTTATAATTTTGTGTACCATGCGCTGTTTTTTTCTGTGTATACAATAAAAGTCATTTAAAAGTTCCTATATATCAAATAATCACTATCAAAACTTTAATTTATAAAACAATGATACATTGTAATATGACAATTTTGACAAGTAATAAAAATTCTAATTCAGAATAGATGAAGAGCTAATACAGAAATCATATTTTTTCTACATTTTGGATTCCTTGTTGGAAGATATTGAAAATCTTATTCCACTAATGTCTATGGCTTTCACGTGGTTTTTATAATTTGCTTAAAACATTATTAATATTTAAGAGTTAATTAAATAAATCCCTCCTTGAACGTTGTTAAACGTAGAACGAATATTGTTATCTAGAACAAACTTGTACATTAATCAAAAGAAAACTGGGACATGTCAAAAATAACCGAAGGTATTATTTCCAGGTCATTATAAAAATATTTGATACATTATGGGTGATTAAAACATTTCGGCCTAGATGGTGTAGAGTGTTATCAAAGAGAGTTGTAGTCATTATCAATTATTGTTTTTGTTCATCGTAATATTATCGATTAAATTTCAGACTGTGAGCCTGGGACATACGGAGTCAATTGTCAGAAACTATGTAACTGTACAGACGCCGAGGCATGTCATCCAGTGAATGGTGAATGCATTTCAAGTACGTTTTGCAAACATCTACATTAAATACGATTTTTTTTATCGTGTAAACCTGATTTAAAAAGAATTCCAAAAAGAAATCTGATGTAAAATGAAATGCGATCTTCAAGAAATTTATACTTTCAAATGAATACCTGTTGAAATACATTTATTAATTAGTATACCATATTTCGTTTTTCATTTCGTTGATTATTCAATTACTTGAGTAATTAACACCTTATTGTTACTCAGAAATGTAAATAAGCATTGGTCGTTCTTCAAAACCAAAAATACATCATTCAGCGCAGTATCTCGTTAACAGGTTTGTAGACCTGGCACTACTGTACAAACTGTAGGATTCGAAATTATCAAAAATGTTGTTACAAAATTTTCGAAAGGACTTTAATTGTACCTTATAGTTTGAGGCGATAGTGTAATACCTGACATTTTTATCATAGTTATATGAAAGAAATGTGGTAGTAGCTTCTATCATTGATGTCATTTATTCAAAGAAACAAATCTTCTCAAAAATAAAGGAAATATGATTTGTGCTCTTGCTAAACAAATAAATCTTCAACACATGAATATTTTCACATTTCCTCGGGTCAGAGGTATCAGGAATAAGTTATCTAAGTCAACTATCGTTGATTTTTATAGTCCTTTTCGTGTTTATTTCCTATAGGATTTTTGTGTAGTGTAAATGGAACCTCTAACTGTGATCCTTCACTAGGAAAAAATGATTGCACAGGTATCCGACGGAACACATCATTGGAATTACTACAAGGACCAATCCGTGTCATCCTACGTAACCCAGAAGGTAACATTATTGGTACTATGAGGTAGATTTTTTTATTGATAGTATCATGCCGTCTAAGCTACTTAATACTGATGTTTTTGTCATTATGTAGTCTGTTGATTACTAAAATTATGTTACATTAACATGTGTATTTTAGTAATAACAAAGACTTTGGCTAAGCATATCATATTGATACTTGGCACGTTTTTACAAAAACCTTGTTTTCCTTTTGAAAACGTGACATTACGTACTTGGATTGACCAAGATTTACATGGAGGGTGTCGGTTCTTTAATTGAATTTAAGTTTGGTTAATGACAATGTTTCTATATTTGATTTTTATTAATGTTTTTTTAATGTTTTTGGATGAAATTCGATATCAATATCTTTTGTAAAAAGTGTTTAAATGTCATTAATGAAACTGCATATATCGATCACTTAAAATTTCAGATATATGTGACTCTGTCAACAACCAAACCGAATTTTGCAGTCCAAGTAATAATTCTGTTCTTTGTGAATGCTTTGATGGAAGGACCGGATATTCATGTGAAAAACGTAAGTGATTTGAAAATTGAATGAAAGACTACTGTCACATTACATAATAACGGAAGAAATTGTCCCTTAAGATGATATATTATGCAGCTAAATCTAGATGAATTATTTCGATGTGTTATATATTGCTCACGACTATATTTGACGTTATGTTGTTCCGAGTAAATAGGTCGATATATCGATTTATATATTGCTATAAAATTGGAAACATTTTTTATTATTAAAGCATAATTGCTTTCATATCTTCAGACGCTTTACCATTAGTTTTGCTTCCTCGGTAGACCTACATAGTTGCCCACATGGTAACACAATATGGCGTAATTAATAATGGCTTGATAAAAAAAAAAAAAAAACACACACACACACACACACATATATATATATATATATAGTGACTTTCGTGGGGTATTCATCTTTTTAAGACCTTTTCTGTGAGGTCTTGAAAATTAATGAGGTATATATAGGACATTGTAATTATTTTGTAACTCAAATAGGAGTAACGCTTTGCGTATCGTACATTTACATATTTATATATATATTGGGTAATACCGTTATAGATCTTATTAAATTAAAATATAATATTACGTCATAATGTAGGTTACCATGTAACGTACATGTGACATAAATACAATTACCTGAAGATAAACGAAATGCTTGAAGAACTTTAGTGATTGTGATTTGGAATTAGAGTTGCTGTTAATTTTTTGTTCTTATATCTATATATATAACTTTAAAAAAAACTGTGATTTCAACCGTTATGTTTAAATACATATATGAATGTGTAGCTTTGAGACTTGATGACTGTATGCGTATTTTTTCTCTGGGTTTATGATAGTAAATAAATTTACTAATTTTGATATCCTCATATCGTTTTTAGAAACAAAACAATTTAAGATATCATATGTTGGTATTAGAAATGTGATATTGCATGTGTCTTCTTATAAAAGAGCATGCCAATGGCAATTACGGTACCAAATGTCAGCATGCATGTACGTGTAACGAAAACCATACTATTGGATGTAATGTGGTGACTGGGGCATGTGAATTAGGGTTAGGCTGGACCGGTGTAAACTGTGATGATGGTGAGTTCACTTGTGATAACCGAGAAAAGTTCACTATAAGAATTGTAAAAATTAAGATAACAAATTACAGCATGATGTAAAGCACTGTGTTTTCAAAAATGATCGGTTTTAATTTCTGTCAACAATATTTTGAAAAAAAACGGTTCTTTTAACCCCCGCCAATGCATGAACTTTAAAATATTAACAGAAAGAATATTTTTCATGGTACAAACTTGACAGTGTTGTGTACTGATATAACAATGAAACATTAATGAATACATGATTACAAGAATGTGATTTTTTTTTAGAAAAATATGTGAGAAACTAGTTATGTTATTTGTAGGCTATGATATCATTAAGTAAATTTCAAAGAAGTCTCAATGGTAAGTATAAACACGGTATTCAAAATACTGATAAAAATTTCAACCCAGAGCTGGTGTAATCCCCCATCTAACGAGCAATGGGTGAATGATAATTGTGTTTTCAACCTATTGGCGCTCTTACATTTGTGTAGTGAGTATATAATGTACATCATTTGTATGGCTGAAGGTCTTCCATCTTGACCAAAAGGCTAGAAAAATCACACTTTTACACGTCTGAAATGATATAAACAGTTACATGTAGGTGTCGGCGATACATTAATCATTTAAAAACTTTGGACCTAAGTGATTGTTAGATAAGTTACTTATAGACGTCTATAGTGAGTATTATTGCAAATAATTTTCAAGTTTCAAGTTATAGATAGTGCCAAACGTAATGTCTAAATTAAACACTGATTTAACACTACCTCTTACTGTTGAACAGTTTGCCCTTCCGGTGCGTACGGAAAAGGATGTGGTAAGAAATGCGATTGTGATGACGGCGCGAAATGCGACAGAGTCGATGGTCGGTGTTTGGATGCGGGGAAAAGTACGTTGTCACATCCGGTCGCAATGAAAATCTATATCATTATTTGAAGATGTGTTGGATATATTTGAATATATATGCATTTGAATTTTTGAGTGTGTTGTTTAATTGTGTTCCTATTGTACAATCTGCGAGATTTTAGGTGAGCTACACTATTGGTGAACTTTTGGTTCCCGAATTTGCTGTAAAATTGCATGCCACATTTTGATTCATTTGAATAGTGGCACGGTTCAACACATCGACATGTGCTTCATGTTATTACTGACTTATCAGATATATATATATATATATGAAAATAACCACTCCATCTGGATTTTGACTTTCATTTCGATCTCTTTCGGTTTTCCTCGGTCGCCTCCTTGTCTTCCGCAACATATTCATAAAATGATAATCTGTTTGGTTAAAATTGAAGCATGAGCCATAATGATTATCAAACATATTGAATTTATTTTTCCACAAGTTTAGATATTTCCTAATGGATTTGTAATAGTTTTCACCGTCTTCTTTAAAATGCATATTTTGAAATCCAACAGATGAAGATAAGGATTAATCTTGACAATACAAATGTGTGTATAATTATTTCACCTGATGTAACTATTTTCATCGGTTGTATTTTAGGTGTGAAACAGACGTCGGACCAAAACGCAACCAACATGGGATTAGTATTTGGCACAGTTATACCAAGTGTCTTTGTCATCATAGTCATTGTGGGTGTGGCCTTGTATAAAGGCAGAGTTTTCAGCAACATTAAAAACTCGACAAAGTAAGTGCTGATTCTGTATCTCGTGTTACTTGAACCAATTCTGGTGTACAATTACACAAAATGTCTACCATATCAATGAAATTCTCCTCACAACATTCGAAA